TTTTTTTTTTTCAGTATGTCGTACAGCCATGCCTGCTGATATTGTGTTCCTGGTGGATGATTCCTGGTCAGTGGGTCCGACCAGCTTCCAGCAGATCAAAGAGTTCATAGCGGACATCATCCGAGCCTTCCAGGGAAGTGTGGTTGGACAGGAAGGCATTCGCTTTGGAGTGACTGTCTATTCAGACTTGTCCAGGTCAGTATACATACTGAGGCGGGTTAGTGTTTGCACAACAGAGAGATGATTTCTGCTATGAAAATGATTATGAGAGAATAAACACTATAATATATAATGTGTATATTCCTGACCTCAGTAAGCACAAATTGACTGCTTGAATATTCCGTGCATCTGGCTGTGTCCTTGTTTAGGATGCGTATAGCTCTGACGGATTATTCGACTCTGGAGGAAGTGCTGAGAGCAGTGGAGGATGTGCCATATGAGGGAGGCAACAGCCGCACCGGCTTGGCATTGGAATTCCTTGTCGAGTCTGTGTTCAGTCCTTCTATCATCAGAGACAACGCCCCAAAGGTGTGACACTTCAGTCACAATCACTTCAAAACACCTTTTTCATGCCTAACCCAACTGCGAGAGAAAAAAACCCACAGATGCTGCATTATAAGTGCTTCATAAATAAAAAAGACAAGTTCACACACAACAAAACCCATGTTAGAGGCACAACAGAGATTTTAAAATGGCTTTTATACGATATTGCATATTTACTCACAATTTTAAGCGCCTTAACACAACAATCAGTTTGTCCACACCAGGCACGTGCACACATAGACATAAAAGGGGTCTTGAGCACCTGCCCTTTTTCTTCCTCGAGAGAAAGTGCCCTTTTTTTCTGGGGAGTGTCTTTTTTTTTTTTTATAAATGAATATATGTATAGATATATGTGCGCGTGTTTCTGTTTGCGCACAGCTTTCCTTGTCAAACTAATAAAAATATCAAAATATTAGGTCAGATCGGGAAATGTTGAGACTGTCGAGTTCCGATGCCCCTCCACGCAGGTGCAGCACAGCAGTGTAGCACACATTGATCGGCACATGCACATCAGGCAGAGAGCCGCAGCAGCAGTGAAGCCCTCCCTCCCTTTCCAGTTGTGTTTGTCTTGGTGTGGA